TTTATTCTCTTTATTCACACTTTATTCTCTTTATTCACACTTCCCTTGATCACTTCTCTGTATTCACTTCTCTTTTATTCACATAATAAAATGCCTTCTGAAAGGCATTCCCTCCATTCAGAATGCCTATCCCCTGCCACTTTCACCAAATGTCCATGTTCTCATTCCTCATGGCCCAGCATGTACACCAGGGCATCCATGAATCTTCCACAAACGTCTTCTTCCTTCTCCTACAAATGGGAGGAATCTCCCCACTTCCCCTGCCTGGAAATTTTACAGCAATGTATTCAGATCTCTCTTATGGTATTTTTCATGAAGCCTCATAATTACTCAAGGAAAGGTCCTTGAGGCCAGGGACCATCTTTCCATTAGGACCCATCTTGGCATTATCCTCAGTACCCAATGTAGAGCCTTGTACTTATCAGGCCTTCTGTTAATTCATTGGTTCTCAAAGTGTGCCCTTAGGACCAGCGGCAATGTCTGAGAACTTGTAAGAAATGCTGATTCTCTAGCCCTACCCCAGAGCTACTGACTCAGAAATTCTGGAGGTGGAGTCAGCAATCTGTGCTTTAACAAGCCCTCAGATGATGCCGATGTGGTTAATGTTTGAGAACCAGTGGGTTACCTGAGGGTCTCTTTTTTTCCCTGGAATAGAAATATGTAACTGCAGTGCATTGGAAGCATTTCTCATCACTTGTGTAAGTAATATTTTATTAGCAAAATAAATTTGAGCAATGGAGAAGTGGTTTGGGGGAATTGCAGTGTCCCTGGCTTTAGCAGCATTCAAGAATTAAACATTGAGGCTGGGCATGGTGGCTCACTCCTATAATCCTAGCACTTTGGGAGGCTGAGGTGGGAGGATTGCTTGAGGCCAAGAGTCCAAGACCAGGCTGCGCAATACAGTAAAACCCTGTCTCTCCAAAAATAAATAAAAATTTTTAAAATAATGTAAAAGAATTAAGCATTAAATGACTGAGGTTTGAACTTACTGATGGCCAAATTTCCTGCTTTTTTTTTTTTTAAACTTTCTCCTATGCTTTATTTACTCTGCTTCCCTTTCCACCTTTCATTTTCACATTTAAAACTGTCTTAGGTTATAGTTTTCTGAGAGTGCATACTTTGGAGAAAAGATGCTAGAAAAGTTTTAATTATAAGCCACATCTAAACAAACATTTGCAATAAAAATCAAAGGTTTTCCGGTAAGTTCAAGTGGATAATTCCAGAAAATTTAGAATGAGTGGGAAACATTCCCTTTTGCATACATTCTTGCAGCTCTTCTGTTTATTCAGTGGTTCTGACAAAGTGTGGTTTTAGGACTAGCAGCAGTATCTGAGAACTTTAAGAAATGCTGATTCTCTGGCCCTACCCTGGAGCTCCTGAGATAGGCCTTCAGAGACAGGATTGCAGTCAATGTGGAGAGACACCTTTCCTTGGAGCTGGATGCACTTCAGACCATCCCAGGCATCATTACCGGTTCGTAAATTTCAGCATTTACTACAGGTGTCAGCTCCCCATGGTATAGAAAGCTGCTCTGAATTTCTGCCAAGAATTTCTGAGCTTTTCTATCACCTCAGCCTCAGGTGATGGTCAGACAAGCTCTAAGCAAGGCAAAGGTGTCACAAATGTGCAACAAAGATGCCCCACACTAGCAGTTGTCCTTAATAGGCAGCCTGTCCTTTGCTTAACATCTGAGCACTTTCTCATCAATCCTAACAATTCTATTCACTTGTGAGAGAGACATATAGTACACAGACATAAATATGTTTATTGTGTATGTATGTGTACATAATGTGTATACATATGCTATATATATATATACATATATATACATGTATATCTGGTTACACACACACACACACACATATATGTGTGTGTGTGTGTGTGTGTGTGTATAAAGAAAGCTTAGCAAGGAGAATTTCAATAGCACAAAAGGCTGTGCTATTGAAAGGCTTTGGGTTTTCTTTTTAATCCACTGTAGTAAATACACAGATATAAGGGTCAATCTTGATAAAAATTTCATATCTGTGTATAATACCTACTTGCTTTTAATATATACAAAAACAAGACAGTGGAACTAAACATACAACCACGACATACACATATACATTTTCTTTTGTAAATATAACATTATGGTAGACATTTCCTCATTTAATAGGAGCAAAACACATCAGAGTTGCATTCTGTAACATATGAAGACCTCTTAAGTCCCTCCACAAATCAGATAAGTTTTTGGGAAAGGGAAGGAGATACCAGAACTTTGAAAATAGATCTTCCAAGTCTTAAATAAAGAGCACTATGAAGATCTTTCTTTCTCATAAATATCTTCATAGTTTTGGTGACTCTGTTTTAGGGAAGCATTGAATTCCGGGTGAATTTGAGTTTCAGAAAGGGCAGTCAGAGTCCAAGGTGATACTGAAAGGTAAAATTCTGTACCCTTCAGAGTTTGCTATATCTTTGCCATATCCAGCCAGGTTAAATACATTGATCAATTCATGGTTAAAGAAGTAAGAGTCCTAAAAATGATGAGAAAAGTAGTTATTTCTTTCTGCTCCAAATATTTCATGGTTTATCTCTGAAAGGTTCTCTTGAAAAGTGAGGCTAATGCTTAGTATCTAACATTGTTTTCAGTGTCTAAACTATTTGAGGGCAAGTTAACTTTAAAAGAAAGATATCCTCTTTTTCACCCTCAAAATGTTGACATCCAGATTATAGTAAATTATTTTCCCTATGGAAAGGACAACTACAGTCCTATTTTTCTCCATATTAACAGAATATGAGCTTTAAGAGAGGATTTTAATCTCTGGAGACTGGGAGAGTAGACTGTTTGATTCATTTGATATGCCCAGCGGGGGTGCCTGTTTTCTTCTCTGGCTTGGACTTGCTACTCTAGTTCTATCTAAATATGTAACATAGTGCAACATTCTAAGGAACACTGTCAACCTTGGTGGGTGATACTAATTTACAAGTAAGTGTGACACATTAGAGCCTTTGAGAAGGGGAGGAGAAGCCCAGGCATTTAGATGAAACTTTATGTAACAAGACTGGAAAGCCAGGATCTATTTTTGTTCTCGGCAGTTTCCTGAGCATTGTAAACCAAAAAATATCTGAGACAAGTCTCAATCAATTTAGAAATTTATTTTGCCAAGATTAAGTACATGCCCATGACACAGCCTCAGGAGGTCCTGAGAACATGTGCCCACGGTGGTCAGGCTACAACTTGGTATTATACCTTTAGGAAGATATAAGACATCAGTCAATACAAATAAGATGTATGTTGGTTTGGTCTGGAAAGGCAGGACTACTGCAAGTGGGGCTTCCAAGTTATAGGCAGATTCAAAGGTTTTCTGATTGGCGGTTGGTTGAGTTATTATCTAAAGATCTGGAATCAATAGAAAGAAATGTCTAGGTTATTATGATAAGGGGTTGTGGAGATCAAGGTTTTGTCATCATGTAGATGAGACCTCCAGGTAGCAGGCTGCAGAGAAAATAAATTATAAATATTTCTTATCAGACTTAAAGAGTCTTGTTCTATCAGTCTTAAGGTCTCTGTGTGATGTTAACTCCAGTCAGCTTTGTCTGAATCCCAAATGGGAGGAGAGTATAATGAAGAAAGTTCAGCTGCCTCTTCCCAACATGGCTTGGACTAATTTTTCAAGTTAACTTTGGAATGTAGTTGGCTGAGAGGAGAGGTTCATTCAGGTGGTTGGGGAGGCCTTACAATTTTATTTTTGGTTTACAGCATCTAGGCTCAGTAATCAAGGAAAGCAAGCCATCTTCTACAAATCAGTTCTATTGAGGTGGGGCACATTCTTCACTTCAGCTATCTCTTCATCTAACTTCTGCTTCTGTGCCCTTAGCCAAGCCTCCAGCCCCTTTAAGATTAGGATGAGGAAAGGAGGGGACTCCTTACCCGACTCTGGAAGGAAAGTGCAACTAGTCTTGGCAAAGCTTAGGTACATAACAGTCACCAATGCCAATCAACCATTTTGTTGACCTTAGCTCCAGTCTGACCATGTCCTAGCACTGCCCTGATTGGAAAATTCTAGATTATCCTTTTGTAGTCCTTTGTGTCTTGAACCCACATCAGCCAGTTCTGTTTCAACAGGATATTTCTACCCATCTTCTCTTTTGGATTGCACTTTTTTTTAAAAAAAGCCCAACTCTTTAAACCAGATTAGGTTTACTGGTTTATTTCTTCCTCTACTCATCATCATCCTAAAAATCTCAAACCAAAACATATTAATTCAACAGCTGGCAGTCTTCTCTGAATGCCCTTGTATACAGAAATCTATAGGAAGTGCTAAGAAAAGACTCAATAGGAAGTAATTGAAACATGAAGAGACATGAATTCGGTGAATGAAGGCACGATAATGATCCAATGTAAAGGAAAATAGTTAATAATAGCTATTTTAACTAAATGCTTCCTCTATGCTACACACTAAGCTACCCACCATAGCTAAATGTTTTTCATAGATTATTTCATCTAATCCTCACCTGGGCTAAGTTTTATTAAATCCTATTTTACAGACAGCAACCTTCAGTTACATGTTCAAAGTCACAGAACTGGCAAATAGCAGAGGCAGGTTTAGAAAAGAAGCCAGCCTTACTCATAAGCATGGGTTCTTTTGAATAAGGTATACACATCTCCCGACTGAAAGACTGCCTCTAAGTAGTTTCGGTTCAATTTTAAGCCATAGCCCTTAGCCTTGAGCTATGTTGCCTCTCCTTCAGGGAACATTTGGTCATAACTAGGGACATTTTTGGTTGTCACAAATTGTCATACAGTGCTACTGGCATCTGATGAGTTGAGGGATGCTGCTAACCATCCTACAGGGCTCAAGACTGTTCCCCAACAACCAGAAATTATCTGGTCCAAAATACCAACAGTGCTGAGGTTGACAAATCCTGATTAGGAGGGTAGTGGATTTTTTAAGCCACTTCCTAAAAAGCAGGTTGTTGTGTCTATACCTCACTCATGTGCACATTTTGTCTCATCACAGATGACAGCAGCCTTCTGAATCTAACTCCGTACCCCCTGGTGAGAAGACGGAAGAGAAGGTTCTTTGGGCTGTGTTGTCTCGTCTCAAGCTAGGTGGCTCCTCCTGGAAACCCACTGAGAACATCTGAAAAAAATCACAAAACCCAAGGACCTCCAGACAGCTGAACCACACAGTTACTGGTTTTTGACTATGTTTTCTATGCTTCCTTATTACTTTTATCCGCCTCCCCCTGCCCTTTTAAATGATTTTACACTTGAAAGCAGCTGCCGTCAAGGAAAAAAAAGAACAGATTCAAAAAGCAGGCTGTTTTTAAAAGGAAATTTTAAAGCTGACATTGTGCATGTCTGCTCCAAACCATGCCATGACAGATGCAAGATTTATGATTTTTAAATTATTTAAAGTTTTTTTAAATGTATTATACAGAGGAAAAATATTTCACATATAATAGTATATCTATAGCTCTTGCTGATCTCGTGTTAAAATTTATCACATATAAAAGAAGTCTTTAAACATAGAAATCTATTTAAAACTGAAAAACTGTGTTCAGAAAACCAATCTATCAATATCATTAGAAATAATATTATAAGCAAACATATACCACCTCACCTATTGCTTTCTCTGCACTCATTTACATTTAGTCTTCCATTCTGTCAGAATCTAAGAGCTTCAACATGAAAGTATCTTAATTTATAATGCAACAAAAACCACATACAAAAAGTACTTAAATTTTGTAAATACACAATAATCCTAATATCTTCGTACAAATGCATATGGGCAACTAATTTCTTTTTGATCCAATGGTGTCTTTTTCAGCTTCTTGGAGAATGAAGTAATCCAGTTAGGAAATGGTGTAGTAACATATACAATTACCCTCAAATGTAAAATCAAATATTATTACATTTTGTTCTAATTGAAATCTGAAGCATGGTGTCTGCACATCAGCATAGTGTTAAATCTTATAGGGCATGCTGGAATTAGCTCAGATCGTAACAGTATTTAACATTTTACATTGTTAATAAAGTTTTTTAGTTAAGCTAAGCTTGTCTCATTTTAGATGACTATGCAGATAAGACTTTTCCAATGTGTACTTGGTGTCTTGTCTTACACTTAGATTCTTGAAAGCAGGACACATTAAGCAATACTACATTTTAGAAAGGAGGAAGCCACATGCTTTGTTTTTCTGCTCACAGCTTTGTTGTGATCTTTCTTCACTAAACTTGTAACATGGTACAAATTTTGTTATACTTTCCCCTGTTCTTCCTTTGGCCCATTTCTCAGACAAAATTTCCCTTGGGTTAAGAGATCAAGTCTTTGCACTTCTTTTCTTGTTTTCCATGGTCTGAAAAAGCTTCAAGTCAGACAGGAGGCACCAGGGTCTAGTACAATAGAAGGATGAGCTAGATGCCTATAAGTGGTTTATCTAAGACACATCTTTAATCCCAACCCTATATTTTTCTCAGTACTTATATGCACAGGCATTTATATGTATACCAATATTTTGACCTAAAAACTAAATATATTAAGGCCTTTAGCTTTAGTGAAGATGAAGAAAGGTATGGGTGAACACTACTGTAGTAATTATTGTATTAGGTTGAATTATATGAAATTTCCTATATTTGACTGTTTTGACCTACCAAATGGCAATTTCATATAGCTCATCCTGATATCTGATGTGAAAATTATACTTTGAATTTTCTTCTAGCTCTTAAATATTGAAAGCGAAGGAATTAAAGGGTTGGAAGAGAATGTTACACAGGTCTCTATTTAGATCATACCGGCTGGTTTTTGGCCTTATTCTTTGAATCTAGAGTTGTGTTCTAATGCACCAGTAACTAATGCATGGTTATAGGCATACCTGGCTTCAAAAAATGAAGTAGCCATGGAAAGCTATATGAGAAAAATCCCAATTTTATGAATCAAGTATTTGTAAAAACTATTTGGCTATTTAAAGACTCAGGGTGAATACTCCATGGCAAAACAAGCAACCCAGAACTACCTGGTCTGAAAACCTTGATTTAAGCTTAATATCCTTTTCTGAGTCTAATTCATTTTCATCCCCTAAGGTTATTTCATTTCAGATCCCTTGTTTTTGAAAGTTTGATGCAGCCCAGTTTGGCAGCTCTCAGCACCTGCCTCGGCCCTCTCCCATACTTCTGTGAACTCTAGCTTCAATCTAGTTCCTACTAATCCATGCAGAGTTATTAACTGATAAGCCCAATCTTGCTGTTCAGCACATTTCTCTAAATGCCTGACCTAAATAACTTCCGCTTGGTTAACTTGTGTTCATTCTCACCTTAGTCTCGGTGTGAAAGTAACACTTACCTTCTGTGCAATTGTCCTTTGTACAACTGAAGACTGTTAATAAATTCAGGTTTCACCTCCATATCTGAAAAGGCTGTAGTAGCTATTCATGGAGATAGGAATTTGTCTAATTACCTAGCCAGACTTTGCATATTTAAGGTAATATATTCAGCTACCGTATCTTTTATTCATAGTGCCTGTTTTCCAGCCTTTGATCAGTTTTGTAGTTGCTGCAGATAAACTCCAAGATTTATAGATCCTCTTTCAGTAGCATATCCTAAAATTAAGTTTAGTGTTCAAAATCCTGATAACCTATGCTGGCCCATGGTTACATAGTAGGTAATTTACCGTCACCCCTTAGATAAGCCAATGCATCCCTTAGGAACTGCCCCACTCTCCTCTCACCTACCAAAGGATTTTCTCAGGTGTGGTTCCAAGCGATACAGTTCTACTGTCTCTGCTTCCTGCTGGTAATTCACTTTCAGATTAGCAATAACACTGAGCTGATCTCTAGGGGTAGGAAGAGAACACTGAACTCATTTTGTCACATGTGCCACATGCTTGAAACAGAAAACGATGTAAACTTCTGTGGCATATATTCACCCATTTTCCCACTATATCTTTAATATCCTGTGTTGATTTTTTTTTTCAGATTACAAAGACAATACATGTTCTTTGTGGGAAATCTGAAAAATACTGCCAAATAGAAAGAAAGTAAAAATCACCTGAATTCCACCATAACCACATTGTTTAAAACCACATTTCTGGGCTTTAAATCACTCAGGGGCGGGGCCCAAAGGCACTTTTGTGTAAGATAAGTAAAGAAATGCCCACAAGGCCAAGATGTCACTTAAAAAAAAAATCTGTCCAGTAATGTTTTGCATGTGAGGAGCCGACTCACTGCAAACCACTGGTTATGCCATTATTCAGGGGTACCTAGAGAGCTTTAGAAGCAGCATAGTCCTGATGCGTCCTCTAATCAATTAAAGCTCTTGGGGTAAATTCCAAAATTGCCAGACCATTTTGTTTCTCTATGCTTCTATAAAACCAGTCAGGAAACAGTGTTTGGCAATACTGCCACCTACTGAAAGCTGAGCTTCAGAGTGACACAAAAGAATGTAAAAGCATCTACTTTGTTATAAACAGCAAACAAATGGACCAGATTAACAATGAGCCCATCTGGAATTTAAAACTCTGAAAGTGTCAACATTGAAAGGATTAAGGTATCATCCAGCCAAACCTCCCACACTACCCACACATACCCAAGCAATGTCTATCATTTCTTTGTCTTAGGAATGTCACCAAATGCAAAATGCTGAATTGTCAGGTAACCATACGTAGGATACGAAAAAGCTGTGTATTGGCTTCAGGATAATTCATTAGAATTAAATATATAGACCATAATAGACCTAATAATATAAAATAATTGAGTATATTATAAAGATGACATTCCAGATAGATGAAAAATGTTCGGATTATTAATTTATATTTGGATAACTGGTTAGCCATTTATTGAGAGAAATATCTATACCTCATAATTATTATCAGAATAAATTCCAGATGAAATAAGGATTTACATATTCAAGCACATAAATAAACATACAACAAGACTAGCAGGCAAAGTGGGTGGGTATTTATTGAATTTAGTGGGAAAAAAAAGCCTTTCTTTGACACCAAAAGAAAAAAAAAACAGAAAAAAATGGATGGATGGAATTTGACTGATTAAAAATGCAAAACTCTTATGTAGTTAAAAGTAATAAACCAAACTGAGAAAACAATATATGCAACAAAAAGTATAGATCTCAAATACATATCAAGAGCTTAAACATCACTACTTTTGGGACATTTCCATGACTACAACCCCCTCCTCAACCAACTGTTTCCACTTCATCCTTTCCCTATTGAACGTTTTCATTATTGCTTAATTGCCTGTTTATCCCTATTAAATTGGAAGAAGAAGAAGGCAGCAACCACGTCTGTTTTGCTTATTGTTGTATCCATACACCTAACACAATGCTAGACACAAAGCAAATGCTGAAAACATACTTATTGAAAGAGTGGATAGTGAATGAATGAATAAATGACATTTTATGACTCAAGGAGAATCAAATTTTTCAACAGAAAATGGGACCAAGGACACAAACTGGCAATGAACAGTAAAATAATCTACTAGTAATAAATATGAAAGTGTTTTAATATACTAGTAATAAAAAATGCAAGTTAATACTATATACTCCTTTTTACAAATCAGAAAGGCAAAGAGCATAAAGAATTAAAGTTCCCAGGGACAAAAAGGAAGTATGGAAATAACATCATTTTACAGAGTCAACAGGAATATAAACTGATTCCACCTTTCTGAAAAAATATTTTGGTAATATATTTTTCCTGCATGCCTAGTAATTCCACTTTAGAGAAAGTCTCCTTTAAATGGGTCAGAAAATAAAATGAGCTAAGATGCATTTATTCATTCTTCAAAAATATATGCAAGAAAGGAAGTTTATAGCAGCATTATTTGGAGAAGTGGAAAAATGTAAATAAGCCTACTTTATAGGGTTGGTTAAATATGGTACATCCTTTCAATGGAATATTGTGCACCAATTAAGAATAAGCACCATATGTGTATTAATTGAAATGTAAAAGCTATATTGTTAGATGAAAAAGGAAGTTATAGAGGAATATTTATAGTATGATCCCTTTTTTAAAATATATGTATGCATGTGTGCATTAAAGAGTCTGAAAGGATACTTGCCAAAGTGTTAACAGCATTTATCTCTGGGAGGTGAGATTTGGAGCAATTATATTTTCTTTTTGCATATCTGTGACTTCTAATTTTTCCACAATGAGCATGTAGTATCTGTATAAATTTTCAGGGAATAAACAATGATGTTCACAGTATATATTAAATGAAAAACACGTTATAAAACAGTATGTATAGTATGACACAATATTTGTAAAAAGAAAATTATATATAAATATATCTATGTATGTATATATATATGCATAAGAAAGCTAGGAGGACACATACTAAAATGTTAATAGTAGTTATCTATGGGTAGTGGGATTATGGGTGATTATTTTTTCTTTTTGCTTTTCTGTGTTTTCTAATTTTTCTACAATGAACATGTATTACTTGTGTAATAAAACCTAATAATAAAAGTTTTAAAAAATGAACATGTGAGAGGGACATTTTTGACTCACCACTTGTCTTCATCCTCTTTCCCACCCCATTCCCAGACCCTGCTTGGCTTATTCTTTGTCAAAATGTGGGCAGTGGGGATATGGAGAGGAAACAACAGGCACCAGAGCTTTTGAGAATAGAAGAGACAGAGCAACACAAAGAGTGGTGAGAAGGAAAGAGAAAGGAAGGAAGAAAGAGTCTGGGAAAGAAGGCAGGAAAGAAAGAAACTGCTAAGTGAAGTCAGTGGAGGAAGGCGTAAAACAGGTTTAGAAACTTTTTCACTAACAATAGCAATGGCTTTAAACTTAGCTCAGGTTTCTGATAGCTACAGCAAGAAAAAGAAATACATTAAGTTAAATAATTTTGTTTTCTAATAGAACACACACACACACACACACACACACACACCCCGCTACACTCCTGGAGAGATACCTAGAAATGAAATTCTGACAGGAACATATCCCGAGAAATTTTTCAAAGGGCAAACTGCTATGGTCCAGATAGATGCCAAGGGCTGTACAGTAAATCTGGAGTTCATAGACTTTGGTTTGAATCTCAGATGTACTGCAACCAAGTACATGCCTTTGGCTAGCAGTTCCAGTATCCATTCTCTCCTTTTTTTCTTCGGTAATAGAGAACTCAAAGACACCACTAGTCACCTAAAGACTCCATTTCCCAGGCTCTTCCAGATGTGGGTATTTTTGTATAACTGTATTTGGCCAAAAGTATACGAGTAGAAGAAGTGTGCAATTTCCAGATAACATTCATTAAATAAACAGCATGCATTTTTATGCTCTTCTTTTCTTCCCTCTGCAATGAGAACATGAGCGTGGGAACCAAAGCAACCATCCTGGATCCAGAAATAGATACCAACTGAGGATGGCAGAAGTTCCCTTTGTCGACCTAAAATAATCAAAATCTAACTTAAAGAGAGTTTCTTCAAGCTCAAGTGAGAAGATGGACCACCCAGAACAACATCTCCAAAGGAATAGAGTCAGCGTTCAAAAGTAATGAAGTTAAGGTTTTATTTCTATAGGCAGAGACAAAGGAGATTTTAGCAGAATTAAATTATTCATACAAGGTTGGCACATACAGCAATTTGCGTATAGGCAGTATTTCTTTCTGGGAATGGTACACTTAACACATTCTTACAGAGGGTGTAATAACCATGAGTTTTCTGTCATCTGGTCTAGGCAAAGCAAGACAACAAAGGAGAAATTAATCTATAATAAGGATCATTAATTAAGAAGGGAGGAGGTTTTGTCCCTGATATTTAATTATCTCTAGCCATTGAACTGAACAAGAAAAATGATAGAGCAAGTCGCTATTTAATCTAAGAACAGAGATTGTAATCATATTTGGCTCAGATCACAGTCACATCTCTCTCAAGCCTTAAAGTGTCTGGGGGATTGCAATAAATTTTAAATTTCATTTATTTTCATATCTAGCAGCCCTGGATCACCTACCTCCATCCTATTTCTCACAAAAATAAATAAATAAAATAATGTCTATCTTGTTTAAGGCATTAATGAGGTGAATCTTTGTACAAAAGAACCTGTTCATTAAATGAATTTCTGCATGCCTCAGTTTCCTCATAGTAAAACGGGGATAATAATACCAACATCATAAGAGGTTCAACCAAATAACTGTCGAATTACTTGCTTAGAACAAAAACTCATTTACGGAGAAAAACCAAACAAACAAAACATTGAATGATAGTGTGTTGGAGAACGTTGGGGAAAGGAAAATCTTTTAAATAGTGTTTTTTAATCAAATATTGATTTCCATATAGAAAAAATGTAAACTCAACTGCTCCCTCATGCCATACACACAAAGCAATTCCAAATTGATTAGCTATATAAAGTTAAAAAGTAAAACTTACGGATAATATAGGAGAATATCTTCACACCCACAGAGTTGTGAAACAGTGCCTAACAGGACACAAACCACTTTGGAAAACTGTTAAACATTATCTATTATCTACTCTCTGATCTAATAATTTCACTCCTAGATAGAAACCCAATGAAAATATATGTATGTGTATTCGGACAGGTAAAAGAATATCCATAGCAACATTACTTGCAGTAACCAAAAACTGTAAACAATTCAAAGCTCCATCAATAGAAACGTGGAATGAGCAAATTGAATGCTAAACAGCAGCAAAAACAAATGACCTACATGACAGCTACTTACAACCATGTGAAAGAATATAACCATAATAATGATGAATGGTCAAAAGCTAAGTGCAAAAGAATGCATACTGCTACAGCAGCCAACATTCACAGCAGCTGAGACAACGCTATGCCCCCGTGACACAAATCTGGGCAGGCACCACAGCATTTATGACAGTTTGCCCCCTGCACTGCTCAGGTCTACTTGCTTCTCTCATTAAATTTGCTCCATTCAGATATAGTTTCTTCTGAATTCTGTTGTCACAATTCCTGGAGCCATAAATAAAAAGAGGGACAGTGGGACAAACCACAGCCCACACTTACGCATTTGGTCCCAAGACTGCATAGTTGATTCTCATCATCTCCTTACCCTACCACCCAATCCCTGAACCCTTCATCAAGGCCCTTCTGGGTTGCCTAATAGAATGACCAGACCCTCACTGAGGGATATAAGGTCCTGACGGTTACCATGCCCTTATTGAACTATGTTTGCTGCACTTTTCAACTTACACT